AATAAGAGAGTTTATCTGAAATTTTATTTATCTCTTGAACAGTCCTATTAAGATCTAGTTGTGAAGTCGCTAACGAAGTACAACTAGATTTTCCTTTTTTTTAAAAAAACAAACAAACTAATTCAGTTAAAATATGGGAAAAAGGCACGCAAATGTTATATTTTACCTAGTCTTTCACTTTTTCCTCTTTCAACCCAGTTCCAACTGATCCAAGAAATTAAACCTAGGTGAATACCGTAAACTATTAACTCTTTGGGATAAAGGCAAATGGTCCACCAAGCAGCCACAAGTAAGCATGATTCCGAGGGGCTTTTCGTTGACCATGAGAGTAAAGATAAAAAGTAAGAGAACACATGCACAAGTGGAGAAGTATAAGTCAAAACACGAGTAACACTTGACGGAGTGGAAGATAAAAAATCAACATGAGAAGGTTGTGGTGTATTATAATTGTTTGTCATTACTACAGAGGTTGAGCGAGATACTTTAGAAGACATTGCAGTATCTGGAACTTCGGAGTCTAAAGACACATTTGCTAGAAAGAAAGCCTGGGAATCAAATACAAGCGACATTCGATCAAAATCATGAAGACAAGGCACTATTTAATGCGAAAATCATATGTTTATGCAAGAATTGGATTTTTGGCAATTGTTTAAACGATTATTACGTAATTTAATATTACACGTGATTATAAAATATGTTTAATATCTAATACACTGTATATACTATTTTTACATATTTTAAATAGGTGTCATCTTATTGTTTTTAATACTTTCAGGTAAACGTAATTGGTAATCTATATTGATAGACAGTAAGAAATTAAGAAAATTAGAAATTAATAACTAAGAACAATATAAAAATATGTTAAATATAGCTTGCCTCCATTTTGCGTGATATATCTCACCCAAGGCAATGCTTGATAACCACTCTTTTCAACAATTTTCAAGTAGCGAACTTGAATTCCAGATGTGGTAAAATATGGTATTTCAAATTTGACGCCAATTGGTGGTTTTTTATCGGGGTCATCCACTGCATTTATTTTTATAGAATTAAACCCGAAATGACGAGAATAAATTATCTCACGATTTAGTATTAAAAAAACAATAATATATATATATATATATATACCATTTTTTACAGACGGTAATCCAAAATGTGCACGCATTAAAAATTCTTTACCACCCTGGAATTGTTTGATTTTCCAAACAAGACAAGACTTCTCAGGAGCGTAATTAACAGAACCGATACTACTCTGTCATTATGGACAATTTACGAATTAACCAAATTCGAAATTGAGAACTACAGTAAAAATAATCAAAATATTGCATCAAATACCCTGAATTTTGGTGTATCTGCATCATCAGGAACAGGAACATATATTTCAACGTTGTTTGCCGTCGAGCGTCGTTTGAATTGAGCTTTTGCTTTAATCATATATTCAATTCTAGAACCAGTATAACTCTCCACGAGTGCTTCAACCCAAATCAATGGCTTGACCTAATAGCATGGATAATATGAATTAATAGTATTAGATCTAAGATCATTACTTGTTAAATAAAATCTCTTACCTGTGTATTTAATCGATAGCTCATTAATTCAAATTCTCCATCGGGAGGTATAAATGAAATGGTACGATCATTCTCAAATCGTGACAATCGAACACATTGATGGAATTTCACATCTTCCATTTCAATGGCTTTCCCTCGAGAAGGTGACCGACCAGTACTTTCAAACATGACCTTGTCATTTAGTCCAAGTCTTAACTCAGGCATGCCACTTAAGTAGCATTTCATCTTAATTATTCCAAGAATTTCACTACGTAGTACATTTCCGTTTGAATTGACTAATAAATTTACTGATTCAATAACATCCAAAAAAACTTCATTTTTTCGATATTTTATGCCTTCCGAACGCCATGAAACTGCGTTTGTTACTGCCATTGGTGGTCGAACTTGAATTTCCAGTTTATGCGACTCTTGAGTTATATACCTGTATAAAAAAAAGTATTATCAATTCTGTTAAACACCATTGGCTTATATTAATTAATTTAGAATTTACTCTTGTAATATTTTGGTTTCAGTGGTTTGAGGATATCCAAAGTCCATCATTTCATCAAGTAATTCATAAATAATAACAAAATTATCTCGAATAGATTCTTCTTCAAGTTCTTTAAAATATTCTGTAAAGACCTAATTTTTTTTTCTCTTATGTCAATAAATTACCAAACTATGCTTTGAATTATAATT